TGTGGCATGGCACTCCCTCCTCCTGTGACTACAGCTTGCTAGTGTAACCCATTTGTGTGTATTCACAGAGACCACGAAGAAGAAGGGCAGATTATTTACCTGTAACTAGTTCTTCAAGCTGTCATCTGTGAATTCACACAAACCCGCCCATCCTCCCCTCATTGTGCCCTGCTTCTCCTTTGATCCTGGGCTGCTGCTTTGGTGTCCATGGAACTGAGGATTGAGGTGGGAAGTGTCAGTAAGGCAATTGGAGAGTGGGTGAGACTACTGTCAAAACACTTCTAATAGCTCTGGAAAGTTCTGAATATGCTCTGCGCAGGCGCAGAATAACCCATTTGTGTGAATTCACAGATGACCACTTGAAGAACTGCAGTTACAGGTAAGCAACCTGTCTTTATCCAGTTCCAGTTGAAATTGTCCCTGGATGTCTGGTTGGTCTGAATATGTACAATCCTATTCATTTAGTTACTATAATCCCTTAACTTCCTGATTAAATCAGCACCACCAGAGACTATAGATCCAGCATTCAAGAAGATTCAGACTCAAGCCAGTGTCCCACTAGTTTTACTATGCTGTACATGCTGATTGACAGTCATAAAAGTCTCCTCCTTCTTTGACACCTGCATGAAGATAGAAAACCATTATTCCATACAAGATATGGGTTTTTCATTTGAAACTCCTCCTCTAATAGTGGATGCATATTAAAATAAGCATAAGGACAAGCCTCATTTTGCTTCAGTTGACAAGGAGGATAGAAAACTGGATGCAATTGGATTGAGATTTTACTCAACAGTGACATTATCCGTCTGTATTGCAAACTACCAAATCTGCATAGGAGGGTATCACCTGTTCCTGTGCAAGAAGATAGAGGGCCCTCTTAGAAAAACATCAGAATAATCTAAACATCTGATGCTCATTGCTTAGCCTCTCAGCAATAAAAATATTTTGCTGATTGTGAAGGGGAAGCTGTGGTGGGATGTCTTCCTATGTCATTCATGGCTAAGATCCTTACTATTGGACTGAAGACCTGCCATTCTCTTCAGTGGGAAGACTGATGGTAAGCTAGAACAGGAGTAGGCAACGTTTTTGAGACCTGGGCCAGTCCCCCGAAGTCCTGGTCTCCGCCGGGCCGGGGGGGGGGAATGGCGGCACGCGCACGCACACACACCCACCAACGCACACAACCCCACAGCATGCGCTGCCGCCACTGCTGCACATGTTGTGGCCGCCATTTTGATTTCCACGCGTACTCCTGCGCATGTGCAAACGAGTTGTGGCCGCCATTTTGGAAATCAAAATGGCGGCCACCACTCACGGCCGCCATTTTGTTTTCCAAAATGGTGGCTGTGACTCGTTTGTGCATGCGCAGGAGTACTGCACGTGCGCAAACACGTTGTGGCCGCCATTTTGGAAAACAAAATGGCGTGTGCGGCCGCACGGAGGCGGCAGCAGCAGGGGTCTGCCTGGGCCAGTAAGTCCGGCCACAGGTTGCCGGCCCCTGAGCTAGAACATGAACAGAAGAGAAGGACCGCATCTGAAAAAACAGGGGTGATCTCTTCTTTTAAATCTCTATCACACTTACACTTCTCTTAGTAGTATCAGTATCCAACTCACAAATCTCATCCCTATGTCACTGTACCCCACACCCTCTTTTGAACACTGACATTGTCTCATCTCCGCTTTCCCCATGAAAAATATCACTTGTAAGTGATATAAGAAGACTCTCAAGGAAAAAGTCTGGAGATTTTTTTGTCATTGCTTTTTAGTCAGTCTGACACCACAAATACCATCAAGCCTGTAATTTGTCTGCATTGTTTCAGGAGAGACTGCATGCTTTCTTTCAACATGGAAATTGATTACAATAGATTCATGGGTCCTAGGCATAATCAGGAGAGGCTATTCTATTGAATTCAGTGCTTTCTCTACAACTGGAATCCTTTGGCATACAGCCCTTTCTGTTGCCTTGGATGAAGAAGTCAATTTGCTGCTACAGTGGGGAGCAACAGAACTTATCCTGAGTCAGACCTGACCAACAGTTTCTAGTGTTGTTATTTTACTATGCTATAATTTCAGTGGATTCTTGATTTATGAGACCTTTACTTTTTTATAGCCAAAAAAAAAAAAAAAAATCTGCTTGTCCCTTCAGCAGATTATCCTACCTTGTCTGCAAAGAAACAATGGGTTTACTACAGTGGACCTGAAGGATGCTTATTTTCATATTTCCATTCTCAGTTCCCATTGTTGGTTCCTGAGATTTATGTTAGGTAATTTAGCTTTCTAGTTTTGAGTTCTACCATTTGGTCTAAGGGTGACCTAGGGATGACACTGAATGGCACAGTATGGCTGTGGTAGCAGCCCATTTCAGAACTGCCAGCACATCAGTTTTTCACTACATCATTGATTGATTGGGAATTCAGGTGTAGTTCCACCTGAATAATGCCTATACACATGCATCCATTGAATTTTGCTGCTTCTCAGGACCTGGGGGCTAATGTTAAACCCTCACTTCCACAAGTATCAATAATCCTGTTCTTGCTCTCCAAGAGCAGTCTTGGATTCAACAACAGAATATGCTTAATAAATAATAATATAATAATAAATTTTTATTTGTAGCCCGCCCCTCTGCGGAGCAATCGGGGCGGGGGACAACAGCATTTAAAACAGAACAAGATTAAAACATTCTCTCTCCCCAATCCCTACCTCCCTCCACCCAACCCCTTAAAATAAGATTAAACCAAAGAGAATTAAAATACAATATAATAAATTAAAACAGAAAATCACAGAGGAGTCAGACAAATGGGGGCCCCTTTTTGGGCCGACAGCTATTCCGGGAAGGCCTGCCGGAAAAGATCCGTCTTTACTGCTTTCTTGAAAGCAGCAAGAGTGGTAGTAAGACGGATCTCATCCGGCAGGCCATTCCAAAGTCTGGGAGCGGTTGCGGAGAAGGCCCTCTGGGGGGTCTGGGACAGCCTGGTTTTTATTGGCTGTAACAGGTTCCTCCCAGAGGACCACAGGGCGCGGTGGGGATCGTATGGGGAGAGGCGGTCCCTAAGATAAGATGGACCCAAGCCATGTAGGGCTTAGCTGCCAGTGAGTATGCCTGCTGCCTTGTCTACTACATTTCTCAGATCAATTAATGGCCGAAGCAGATGGCTCAGAAGAAGCAATCTCTTGCCGCTTGAGCCATGATCATGCCAGGACTAAATCTGCTCCTTTTGCCAGTGGCTTCAGGCTGTCTTAGGCAGCCTCGGTGTGGCTTCCAGCTGCTGTGGGGGTATGTGTTGTCTAAATGTCACACCCCCAAAGCATCTGGAAGCCGCTCTATTTGGTCTGTCTGTTTCAGGCCTAAGATTGCTTTAAACCAGAGGTCGGCAACCTATGGCCTGCGGGTCGCATCCGGCCCGGGAAGGCCTTCAGACTGGCCCTTGCCCGGTCCTGCCACCACTGCGCCACCGCCTTTCGCGGCCACAGGGGTCCTCTGGGGTGCCGAGGAAAGCCTCCTGGGGGGCCCCCGCGGCAACGCTGAGCCTCTCGGAGGCCTGGTGCCACCAAGGGAAGTCTCCTGGGGGCCCCCCGCGGTGGCACTGGGCCTCTCGGAGGCCCGGCACCGCCGAGGGAAGCCTCCTGGGGGGGCACCCGTGGTGGCACTGGAATATGCTGCCTTGGAGGCTTTTAAGCAGAAACTGGATGGACATCTGTTGGGGTGATTTGATTGATGTTCCTGCTTGGCAGAGGGTTGGACTCCATAGCCCTTGTGATCATTTTCAACTCTATGGAGATTACCACACTGGCAAAAAAGACAGGAGCATAGCGGGATGCTCCCATCAATATAGTACAATATGGCAAAGACTATCACATGACATTGCATGACATCACGATTTTTCCCTGAATAAATAAAGAAAATTCTGTGAATAAAAAGTGGTGCTAGAATTCCTCTTTATTCATGGGATAATTGCGGAGTAATCATGATATCACGCGATGTCATGTGATAATCTTTGCCAAATCATGCAATATTGATGGGAGCATCCCGCTATGCTCCTGTCTTTTTTGCCAGTGTGATAATCTCCTATGATTCTGTGATTCTATGGTCCTTTGTTGGATGACAACTTGGGAGAACAGAGTTCAAACTTTCACTTAGCTATTGAAACCCACCAAGTGATCTTGTGCAAGTCACATTCTCAGCCTCAAAAGAAAGCAAAAGCAAACCCTCTCTGAACAAATCTTGCCAAGAAAACCTCATGAAAAAAATCGCACAAAAATTTCCCTCCCAAATTAAACAAATTTTTTGAGTCTGTGGGCTGTGGGGAACTTAAGGGCGGCACATTTAGGGCCCCCAAGAGCTGCATGAAGGCCATGGGCTGCATTTTGCCCATCTCTTTGAAAAGGGTGACAAATAACAGATATTAATTGTTGTTAATGAGTAGATCCAGCTGTAGATAAGCAGATAAACAAATGTGTAAGTAAAGTCTTTGTCTAAGACCAGTGGAAGGGCGATATGCCCAGTCAGATATGGATGTAAAAATTATAGTTGGGGGGGGGGGGAAGAAAGCGTGGAACAGCAGTGGTAATAAGATACAGCAAAGGACATTTCTAGCAGTCTGGGTTAGCATAAGAGTTGAACTTTTGAAATATTACACACTTCTCTGTAGCTGCTAGGATGTAAATTGTCTCAGAGCAGTGCAAACTCTTGGCAGATGCTTGTTCAGAACATGTTAGGGCATACATTTAACTGTAATGAATCTTATCTTATGTGGTGAGCTAAGAAGCTATGGTGTGTGGGTACTTTCAAGTTGCCTTCTGACTTATGGTGACCCCATAACGTCATAGGGTTTTCTTAGGTAACAAACACTCAGAAGTGGTTTTACCAGTTCCTTCATCTGAAATATAGTCCCTCCCCCCCCCCTCTTTTCTTTGCCTAAAAATGCCTAGGATTTGTTCAGTGAGTGTTTGCTTTGCCTTCCTCTGAGGCTGAGTGTGAGAAGTCACCAAGTGGGTTTCCATGACTGAGCAGGGATTCGAACCCTCATCTTCAGAGTCATAGTTCAGTGCTCAAACCATTATACCACACTGGCTTCCATTGGATTTAGATTACAATTAAAATTAGTTATAAACGTTTGTAGTATTTAGCCATTGAAATGTTTTCAAGGAAGGGTGTGACACACCATCGGATTTTTTATTCTTTCACCCATTTGATCACGGGCCAGTAAAAGAGTCCTATTTGCTGTACTTTTCAACATGAAGTTAGTTTTTACTTTCAAGTTTTGGACAAGTAGCCTATGTGTAATCATTTTTTCTTCCAAAAGACGTTATTTCCTCTCAAGGAGATTCTATTGTCAGGATAAGAGTGCTAAGTACCTTTCTTACACTTGAACATTTCAGATTACATAGGTTCTTATGTACCAACTTTTAAGCGGTCTGAAAAACTGCAGGACTGGGTGCAGAAGAAGCATAATTTTGGGGGTGTGGATAGTGAAGAAATAGCACTTGTTAGAGTATTCTAGGTGACCATAATATTTGCAGTTCATCTTTCTTTTTACATTATTTATTTTAAAGAAAATGCATTTCTGTTCAGTTAAAAAATACATAATAGCTGTAGTGTTGCTATTATTTTTGTAGAATGGGGCTGCTGTGTGTGGTTATCTTTTTAAAAAATGGTTGCAACTCGTACTGCTAAAATTGAAAAGATAAAAGGTAAGGAGAAATCCATGATGCTTTTTTTTTTATGAAAAAAGCTAGAACACTTGTAAGGGCAACATCTGTTTTTCAAAAAGGCATGCATGCTATAAGGGCAGAATCGTGGAATACAGTTTTTGTTGGTTAATTGAAACAGAGTCAGTACAAACATTGCATTTCTCCATATCCCTAAACTGTGGTTTAGACAGATTAGAGTGTACTATGGGATTGTCCAGTTCTGCCCCATAGCCAATCTCCCTCCTCTATTGGAGAATGAATTCGCTCTCTCTGCCACATTGGAATGAACTGTGGTTATGACTAACTTGGATTCTATTATAATGGGAATTAATTAAACAGGGTAAAAAAATTAAACAGGGTGATAAAATGCAGCTTTGTCAAATGCCCTTGCCAGTCGCAATGGTTCTGTGGTTATTGCAATCCCTTGTATCCCCTTTGTTGAGGAATGGATTGTGCATTGAACGTTTCCAGTCTGTGGGCTACTGTTTTCTTTCTCCATATTTGTTGGCAGATTTTGGTTAAAATTAGTCTAGGTTCTGTCTCTGTAGCTTGAAATAGCTCTATTAGTAGGCCATGTGTTCTTGGTGATTTATTTCTCCCAAGTTCCATGAGTGCAGTTTCACTTTCTAAAATTGTAGGTTCATCTTCATATGGTTCTTCCTTGAATGAATATGTTATCCTTTCATCTCTTTTATATAGTTCTTTAGCATAGAAAGTAAAGCAAAGCTTGCTTAAATGTCAGGTAGAATTTTAGGGGGTTGCAGACTGCCAGAAATAGTGCAAATTGAGTCCACTTTAAGGGTTAGGGTTAGTGCTAGGGAATCATGGGAATTGTGGGTTGTTTTTTTTTTTCTGAGACATTGAGCCTTCTCTGTCAGCTCTGGTGCCACAATAAAATACAGTTCCCATGATTCCCTAACCCTAACCCTAAAAGTGGACTCAATTTGCACTATTACTGGCAGTCTGCAACCCCCCTTAGTCTTGTCCTAAATATGGTTATACAGGAAAACACAAAGAATAAACTTCCTAGAGGTATGTGGGTGGTTCTGGCCTTCTAGTTCTGTTAAAATACAAATGTACCTATTCCCTAACCTTCACTCTGTTGTTTGTTGTGTTATCCTCCCCTCTCTTTCCGTGCTTCTGCTCCCTGTTTTGCAAATATTTTTCTTTGCTGCCCAATGCTTACTCCTTTTTGGAATGGTACTGATGTTGGATCCTAACGTACCACTTTCACACTGTCCAGTATTGGTCAGCATTATTTTTTATATTAGAAGTAGAAATTGAGATTTGAGAAAATTAGTTTTGCGGTTATCACTAGGAACATTTCTTTTTGACAAGCATGCCTTGGTGGCACCTATTTTAGCTCCAGTGTCTCTTAATTTCCTGAAGATTCTTGCCAGGCATTCATCTTCAATGAATACTTTCCCATCAGTATTGAGCCTGGATGTAACTTCTATGGCATATTTTTAAAATTGCAGACACAAACTACAATTTGCATTAAAGAGCATATTTGTGATCTTTAATGAAATTCAAGACTTGCAATCATTTTCCTTTGAACAGCTGGTTAGAATGTTCCTTGATTTATATGGAAAAATTGTTTTTAGCCTTTGATTATACAGTTGCCTGTATTTGAAAAACATTCTAAGACTTCTGTGTATATATGTCCTACAGGAGATTGGTTGTAGTGATTAAATTGTTCCTAAACTTTGGTCCTCCAGATGTTTTGTACTTTAGCTCCCAGAATTCCTCACTGTTGGCCAAGCTGGCTAAGGCTCCTGGGAGCTGAAGTCTGGGAACTACCGAACTACAATCTTGTCTGGCTAAGAGGAGAGAAAGTAATTGAAAAGAAATGATGGAAAATTACAGAAATATAATTCCTTGATAATAATAGTAACTGTTCTGTGTTGAATACTCTCAGGAAGAAAAGAACAGTCAGTTGGACATTAAGCATGTATCCCGCCAAAGGAAGATTTAATTACAGATGGATGCCCTGCATATAGGCAGAAGCCATATTGACATGGAGCTCATTTTAGGTGGGTGGTTGTCAGATGAAGTACCAGCGATCTGCAGTGTTTCTTTCAAAAGGATGCTTGTATCAGACATTATTACATTTTTGTTACTCTCTCTTTCTTAAGTCTGATACTGACTCTCAGGAAAACCAGCTTGTTTGTCCCTTTGTTAGCAGACCTGTTTGAATTGCAGGGGCCCTCCCCTGCTCTGCCCCCAAATCCTGAGAAAATCTAGATGTTTGGGTCCTTCATTCTGGTATAAGGGTTGGGTTGCTGCTTCCATCTTTAACAGAGAACCTCTCATTTGTAGAAAGCACCATTCTGGCTTCTGGTCTTAGGTTTCTTGCCAAAATAATTGGCTAGACTTTGTGTAGCTCTTTTAAAGTGAGAACCTTGCTCTTTCTCCCCCTCCTTCCCAGCCTGAATTTTGCCAGAAAACTCTTAATATCCTTTTCAGTCTTCAACAAAGGTAATTTCTGTTACCTCAAATCATAGAGGCACTTTCTTGTCCAATTGCTCTTGCACAGTCTCTCTTTATTGTGAGAATAAAATGGAGAGTAAGCAGCAGTATAGAGGTGGGATATGTATGTAGTGGAATATAAATGTCGTGAATATAATTATCTTTGCCTTTAAAGCAAAAAAAAAAAAAATGCAGGGGGCCTTGTGTCAAGTATATGAAACTTTAAAAATTGAGTTGTTAAGGTCTCCTAAGTCTTCCCTTCAGAAACATTTACCTGGGGAAAAAGCCAATTTAATACAGTGGGCCTTACTTTAGAATAAAAATATACACGACCACCCTGTTTTTACTGCTCTTCTTTCCAGTTAAACCTTTGTAAAGTGTCTTAGAAGAGATGTATGAATATGAGAGGCCTTTTGTTTCTGAGGGGCTCAAGCCTTCCAGGTTTCAGAATAAACAGTTGAATAGTGTTTGTGCAGAAGTAATTCTTACAAGTGTCTAAAGAACCCCATAGTGCTTTCTCTTCTTGGTTTTTATGTGCATACTTGTGAAAATAATGATCAGAACTGAGGTGGCCCAAGTTATGAAACCTGTAGAATTTCAGAAGAACAGATATAGAGGTTTGGTTATGCAAAGGGATCTTGTAGTACATTTGAACTAACAGAGAAAGAAGTTGGTAGCATACACTTTCATAGACTCAACCCTACTGCATTAGTTGCGTGGAATGAATAGATCTTCGTAGTTATGAATCGGCAGGTTGTATGTGTGAATACTGATAGAAATGCAAAACTTCTGCTTATGGCAATGATATAACAATTTTAATTTTAATTGGGGGAAGGGGACAAAGGCAAGAGGAAAAATATTGCCCGAGGCCAAGGTGAGTAGATAGCCATATGAATGGTGGAGGGAGTTAGTAGAGTGATGCTGGCTGGGAAACAGAAAAGAAGTGTAATAAACTGGCCAAAAGAGCTCTTATGAGGCTGGGATATTAGCTAGTGTTATAATATGTGTAGTGTGCTAGAAAGCCATTTTCTCTGTTCAATCCACTGTTAATGGATTGGAGTTTGTGGATATATTCCAGTCTTCTTTTATAGTTTTTTTGTTCAAGGACCGCTGTCCTTAGGCCAGACATGGAATGCCCAAGAAGTTTGAAATGTTCTGCAAATGGTGTTTGCATATCTCCATTCCTAATGTCTGATTTATGTCTGTACATTCTCTGGTGCAGAGACTGGCCTGTTTGCCAAATGTACAATGCTGAAGGGCATTGTTGACAGAGAATGGCATATATCACATTAGAGGAGGAGCAAGTGAAAGTACTTATAATATTGCAGAATTGGCAGAGACTTGTATAGAAAAGGATGTTTAAATTGGGCTAAGAGGTGAATTGCTGCTTCTTATCCCATTCCATGTAGCTTATGATTTGGTATGAACATGGCATATACCAGGGGTCAGCAACCTTTGTTGCCAGGGGGCTGGGTGAGGGGGAGAAATGGTGCGGGGGCCGGTCATGCAGGAGTTGGGGGTGCGTGCGCGCTTGCGCGCGTGCACACACACACCCCTGACAGACGCCATGGGGCCTTTCAAAGGGCCCCCCACCCCGATCCTTGGGCGAATTTGCCTCAGGATCGAGCGGGGAGGCCTTGGAAATGGTCCTCCAAGCCCCCCCCCATTTGATTCTGGGGCGGATTCACCCCAGAATCAAGCGGAGGCACCTTGGAGGACCGTTTCCAAGGTGCCTCTGCTTGATCCTGGGGTGAATTCACCCCAGGATCAAGCAGAGGGACCTTGGAAAGGTCCCTCCAAGGTCCCACTGCTCGAGGATCGAGCGGTGGGGCCTTTCAAAATGGCGCCCATGCTGTGTGCGCATGCGCACGTGACACGGGGCGCCATTTTGGAACACCCACGGCGCCATGCG